CAATAGAAATGGGACAAATTTATCTAATAGATTTGTCCTATTTCTATTGACTCCACCCCATATATGGACAGTACAACAGCTATAGCAAGTATAAAAAGTAGTATACATTATATAACCAATAGACAAAAAATAAAAAGAAAAATTACAACTTACTAGAAAGTATAGAAGAAATTAAAAAAGCAAAAAATATAGATTTAGAATTAATAAACGTAAAAAAACATAGTAGTAATAGATAGAATAATAGAGCAAATAGCTTAGCTAAGCAAGGAGCAAACTTGCAAAATTTAGAAAATATTATAGATAGTTCAGTCTTAAGATCAAATATATCACTTTGTTGAGAAAATAGAATAGTAGAAAGCCCAACAAGAGATTTTGTCAAAGAGGTTTTTAACATCAAAAATAGTGCAGATAGGAGCTGTTTAACAGCATTTAAAAAGCTGAAATCAGCTTTTGACTTTGGTGGGCATTATTATGAAAACAAATTAAGAACCAAAATGGAATATAATGTATCTCAATTCAAGGAAGCAAAAGACTAAGTGCACTTCTCAAGTGCATACAAGAAAAGATGCCAACATTTAAAGAACTTAAAATATAATAAGCAGACCTATATATTAGCCCAAATTGTATATTCTGTAAAGAAGACAAGAAAGAGAATTAAGATCATTTAGTAAAATGTTTGATCTACAAAGACTTGTACACAAAAGCAGAAGTTTGGCAATAGAGATAGCATGAATTATACTATTAGAAGACACAAAAAAGAACACTACTAAGACTATTTTAAAAGAAAAAATGTAGAGTTAAACAAAAGAAAAAAAAATAGAGATTAGAAAGAAAATTATAAAAGGTTTATTCAAAAAAAATAGCAAAAAAAGTACAAGACTGTTTAGTCTCAGTACAAGAAACCAAAAGCTTTATAGTAAGTATTACAAGTTCAATTTAGAACAAGTTTTATAAAACAGTTTAGAGAGAAAGATGTTGCAAAATAGCTGAATAGGAAAAAAGTCAAGGCATCAGCACAAAATTAACAAGAAAAAAACAAAAGAAATAGATAATAAACAAGCTACAGTATTATACAAAGCATTATTAGAATTAAAAGATGAAAAACTTAAAAAGAAGAAGGAAAAAAAGAGATAGAAAAAATGAAGTAGAAAGTGTATGAAAAAAGGCAATAAGAAAGTTAATTAGTAATAATAAGAAACTTTACTAAAACAGTCTTAAGAACTAGTCTAGATAGCCCTCTAGTAGAGAGTTTAATCTCACATTAGTGTAGCAAGCTACCTCTAAGCACTTAATTATAGTAGCCAGAAGATATTAAATCTGTAAATTAAGCTAATATTTGTATAGCTATATATGCAATTCTCTTAATAAAGAATTTTGGCAAGCATGCCAAAGGTGGAAAAAATATATATATATATATATTGTTAAGAGCAAAACAGATATCAAAGTTGCTCTAACCTAGTGCCACCCTAACTTATACCTATTTATAGCAAGAATAATCCTAAAATAAGCAAACTATTGTGCAACAATTGTATTTTAAGAAACTTAAAAGCCAAGCTGCCCAACTGAAACAATGCTATAACAATGCTGAATCAGGAACTATAGTCATTTGTTAGAGTAAATTTGCCAGATTAGACTAATTGTTTGTATTATAAAAGGCCATTCAAAGTTCTAATCATAATGACAAATCTAAAACTATTGAGTTTTATAGAAAAATGTTTGATTTTAGGCCTCTGTATTATCTCTTTTTGTGAAGTACTATTCTTGTATATAAGTGCATCTTTTTTTTAAGAGTTAGAAGAAAGAGAAAGCAAATAAAATAGTCATTATTAGTAATACTTATAATAGTAATAAAAGCTATTTTAGTAATAAACTAAGACCTTGCACTTATGTCTTAGTCTTGCCAAATCATTCTGCCTCTTTTGTAATACAATATTTTATAATATTTGGTATTTTTGAGTAATAATCTGTTATATTTTTCTTGATTCTGTATTCTGCAAATTCAATTCTTCTCTAACAATATATTTAATACTGCTATATATAGTATTTATTAACAATATATTATTCTTATTTATATATACAAATTATTTATAAAATTATTACTTGCTCTTCAAAAAAGTTATATGTTTTTATTATTTTAAATAAAATAAAATAGATATAGTATTTAATATTTTTATATACTATCTATTGTTACTTCTTAGTTTTATATATAAATTATTATAAAAATCTTTTTGTTAAGTCTTTTTAGATGTCATATCAAGTTGTAAAGTTATAGTTTTTATATTATAATTATCAATTACTGAAAACTTTAAAAAAGATAAATTTCCAAGTTAACAATAGTAAGATTAAAAAGACAATATACCTAGTTTTATATAAAGTCGGTTGTTATTAATAAAATCTAAATAGATATAAAATACTAAAGAGCAGATATATTGTAATTATTTAGAAAGAGATCAAAACTAGAACAATTAGAAATTTGTAACAAATACTATAAAACTGTAAAACCTATACAAAAAACTATATATAAAATTAATATACTTTTTATTTTTCTTTAAAAAAATTTTATAAAAATAAGTGATTTATTTTACTTTTTAAAAAATCAACATATAAAATTATTAAAACAGTTAGTAGTATTTATTTTTTTTAAATAAAATTATTATTAGTATAAATTAAAAACAATATAACAATATAAATATAACTTATATATATGTCTCAAACTACTAAAAATTTATAAAATATTAGTTTTGATTAATTAGTCCTTATACTAATATTCTATATTTAAGTTGAAGTTTTATTTTATATAGTTTTTGTTAAATAATCTAAAATAAATAAATAAATAATAAATTTAATTCTATTTAATATAGTTTATAATTTTAAAAATCCAATAAAAACTTATAATTGTAATCATCTAATAATAATAAAAGTCTTATATGTCTTCTTTTTTTTATTTTTATTTTTTTTTATTTCTTGTATTATATTTTTTGTGTTATTTATTTTTATATCTTTGTGTTTTTTTATATTAGTATTTTTTTTATTTTTGTTTACTTCTTTATAAAAAGTTATTATCAGTCAAATGAAATGTCAATTGACTGCATTATTATATAATGATCAATAACTATTAATAATCTAACTATTAATAATATTACTATAATCCAAAAGTTTAACATTCAAAAAATTTTAAACATAGTTTAACTTCATAATATAAATTGTATTTATACGAATCAGATATGTTTATATAAAATTAATAATAATATTTTTATAATGAAGTTTCTTTATCAAAATTTGTTCTATTGGTTTATGATCACATGATAAATCATGTACAGAAAACTTGCCATGATCTTTTACAAAACAAATACCTACTTAAAATATGTATTAGCACTAACAAAAATCAGAATAAGGACTCATTAATTTACTCTGTATGTCTTATTTCAGTATTCAGCACCTAAAATGCTAACTAATATATTCAAATATTTACAAAGACTTGAGATAGTCTTCAATGTTTTATACCAACTGTGAATTCTTCAATGCATGAAAACATTATTATTCATGATATAATATGTATAGTACATAGATATAAATCAAATTTTAATCCTCAAAGTGTCTTTGATACAAATCATAGAGGCATAACAATTAATACTTTAAGTATGTTTCTTTGCTTTTCTAACTACATTGATTATTTTTTTGTAATTTTTTGCACTTCAAAAAAGAATTATAGCTAAATAAAGTGTCATTTATTAAAGGGCATTATCAAGCACTATAACTAATAGTAATAAAGTGTTAATAAATAAATTTACTTAGCAAAAAATAGTTTAAACAGGGTTAAGTAAGTTTGTTATTGTAATAATAATTATAATTTAATAAAATTTATTATATTTTTTAATAATAAAAACATATTATTATTCAATTTACAAATGTTTGTCACAGATTCAAACATTCAGCATTCATGAATTATCTTATTTTTTATACTAAAAACTTTTATTAAAAAGAAATTATTAAAATCTAAAAAATAATTATTATTATCATCTTTTAGTCTTTATTTATATGACATTAAATTTAGCTATTTTATTTATATTAGCAAATTTTCTATAATTATTAAATGCTTTATGTCTGTCTACTTCAACTTATAGTAACTAGCACTATATATCTCATTATCAGAACCTTTATTAATAGATTCTTTATAATAATCAAATGCTTTATATTTATTTGTTTTAGCACTAGTTTTATTTTATAATGATAACCAACAATATATGTTTTACTAATACTATCTGATTTAGTATAATATAAAAATGCTTAAAGCTGGTATTAATCACTATTGTTCATTATTAATGCTTTTTTTATATTAGTTGTTATTCCAATATCTGCAGATTTGTTGCAAATTCCATTCTTTATCTTCAAGTTGATCTAGAATTTCTAGAGCCTTGATCTCAGAAAGGCTACTATCAAGTATGTTATTAAGTATTTTTTTTCATTTTTAGTAGTTTGCCAATGTAGAAGTTTTACAGAACATAACTCTGTTGCATTTTTTTCATTTCTGATTCTTTTTTTTATTTTTCATCATTATTATTATTTATTATTGTTGATTGAATATTTTTAAATTTGTATATAGTAATATTGTAAGCATGATGACCTTTAATATTCTTGACTTTAGTTTTATAACCATCTTGATGTAAAATAGCATTTAGCTGTGAAATACCAATGTTATAGCATGAAAACATTCTTTAAAACCTAATTTCATTTATTTCCTTAGTATATTTAAAAAGATTATGATTTTCTGGCTCTACTGAAGAAAAAGCATTAAACAACTCAGAAGATAATTTCTATAACTCTTCTTTATGTAAATTAATTGTACAATCTCTTTTAACTATAAATGCATCTTCTATATATTTTGATAGCAATAATGATAAATGATTTTTTTTAGACTGCACAGAAGCAATTTGCAATTTAAGATCTTTATTATCAATAGGTTTTCTCTTAATGTATTGTTTACCAAAATTTATTCCAAATCATTCAAGAGCTTCATCGAGTGTCAAATAGTGACCAGGACATGTTAAGTTAATTAAACAAACATGTTGAAGTAATTTTTTAAGTGATGGATTATCTTTAATATATGACAAAAAATAAGTAACACATCTTGCACAATTACTTTTTTCAGTTACAAAAAATAAGGGGGAAAATGCTAAAAGGTTTTTATATTGCATTTCAAAATTTCCTTTATAAATTCTAACTTTATGACCAATTCAGTATTCCGCTTATTTAAAATAATAATACCAAACCTTCAGCACTTTATTACTACCACTTTCGATACTATCTATTTTTTCATTCTTACTAATTAAGTATTGACTATTTCTATGCCAACAGCCATCCAAATTAACTTTAAAACTCAACAAGTTGCCTGATAATCTACTACTTTCTAATTTATCTAAGTACTTAACACCAAGAGTTGCAGCTAAATTAAATATTTCATAGCCTAAAAAAATAGTTATCAATGTGCTACACATATCTTTTAAGGTATGCCATTGTCCCAAAAGCAAACTTACTTTTTTGTTAGTATTTTTGTATAAAATTAGTTGGCAGAATATTGCTTCATTACAAGCTACATATAAATGATTATTATTTTCTACCTCTATATTATAAATATACATATCATATATATTGTAAAAATTTTCATTACAGTTTGGACTGTCTCTGGGTTGAAGGATTACAACATTAAGTGATGAAACTTGACATCTTAGCTTTGTTTGTTGTGCAATTTCATGAAGAAGATTGCTTGTGCTCCAGTTTTTATATTGAGTATGTAAAAAATTATGAAATTTTTTTTCAAAATTTACAAGTAGATCATCAGTAAACGTTGATGTGCCAAAAATATTTTGGATTTCATTATCATTATTATTCTTAATGACATCAGTTTTAGAACTAAAAAGTTTTAAAGCAAATTAAAATAGCATTCTTAAGGTAGCATGAAATATATTGTGTATTGTATCAAAGATATTACTATATGTATATGTTTTTTCTAAAAGATCAATATTGTCTATTACTGCAATATTCTGAATATTTTCACCTTTTCAAAGTTTATTTTCTGGATACACTTCTCTAATTTTATTTTTTTCTAATTGTCATTCATACCTTTGTATATGTGATACAACATTAGCTGCACATAAAATACTATATAGAGAAGATAGTAATTTAGGTTTGTGATAAAAAAAGCTTATAATATGCATTAACTATATATTTGTGCCAGAAAATGCAATACTTAAAATAATTGATATTAAAAAAATTGATATTTTAGCTACTTTGGTCATATCAAAAACCTTTACTGCCAAATCTCTTTCTTTTCTTTTCTGTATTGCAGCTTTAAATTTTTTTTTTATTAATACCATAATGAGTCCTTTAAAGAATTCTGATAAACAACTAGGAAATCCACTTTGGTAATCTTCTATAAAATCTGGTTCTTCAAGTTTTTTTTTATTCTCTCGCACCTCATGACATGATCACAATACTGCAAATCCAAGTACCTCTCCAACTTTAGTTAATGTATCTGTAGTAAACTTATAGCTTTTGTTCTTTATATTTATAATATTAATATATTGCAATCTTAATGCAGTCTTGATATATAATAGGCTTGAAGGATTATTAACAGGACATAGTTTAGTTTTATTAAGTATTATGCTTAAGTATAATAAAATATTTTTTTTATATTCTTGTTTCACACATTCTGATATGCTTAATATCCAATTTCCCATAAGCTTAAGAGCTTTGGTAACTTTACTATCATGCATATTCTGATATGAAAAATGTGAATTATTTCTTTATTTATTTTTTTTGAAAAAATGTCCTTCTTCTGAATTAAAACAATTAGAGCATATAAAGTGTAGTCAGTATTCATTAGACTTGTTTGCATTAGTATTATTTTCAGATAATTTATTGCAAAAAAAAGCTAAACAAACTTTTAAACCAACACAAGGTGCTTGGATATTATGATTACTAACATGTATTGAATGTTGTACATATGTATTTCTATAACTAAAAAAAACCCTATACTTATTACAAAATAAACAGCAATGATTATAAATCCAACTCTTTTCAATTAATTGTAACTTTTTAATATGTGGTTTGTAAAGTAATTTTTGGTCAAATATAAAGTGAGCATGACAAACACCTAATAAATGCAATTTTTTCTTCTTCTTTTGCTTTTAGAAATATATTACAATCTATTTTCCATGTTCCTATAAGTTGTGCTAAAGGCCTTTGTCTATTTGTTTTATTAGAGCAGCGTTAAATACAACTATCAATTGTATCTAAGAGAATACAGAATGTCAAATTTTGACTTTGTGAATTCTCTATCAAATATGTTGTTCCCTCTGCTGATTCTTCTGACTCTGGTTCTAATATTAGCATTGAATTTACATTATTATTATTATTATCAGTTTCTATATCAATGTCTTCCCAAGTAAGTTCTTTATTTTTATTTATATCAACTATTGTACATGCTTTTTCAAACTCAACTTCATCTAGAACAAACAGATGCATTTTTATTTCACAATCATTTGTAGTGCTCTCTGTTCCAAAATTCTCAGATGCCAGGTTTTCACTAAAAAATCTCATACTATTATTATTTAATAAGTTATCATCTTCATCAGAGTTAGCATATTCGTAATTTCTATCAATGTAGTTCAAAAAAAAAGCTTCATGTAAATCTGAATTGACAATCTTTTCTTTTATAATAATAATAATATTATTAATGTTTGCTTTAAGATTTTATAGCTTTGACTGAAGTTTCTTTTATCTTAAAACACTTGTAGGCCAAAATAAATTAGATAATAAATAAAAAAGGAATATATGAATTCTTTTTATTTAGAGATCTAGTGTATGTTGGCTTGTAGCTTGGGAAGTTAGTGTTCAAGTAAATGCATATTAGTCAACATCTTTAAAAAAACCATGAGAATTTTTGTAAAGATCCTCCTAATTATAGGCTATTTGTTTTTTGTATTTTTTTTGAAAAAAGAACAGAAAATCGATTCTCTCTTAATTTCTGCTGCTTAAAGATGAAGCATTACTTTAGCATTACAATTATCATTATTGTTATGATGTCCATACAGAATTATACTATCACTATAATATATAAAGACTATCACTATATAGAGATTGTTACTATATAGAGATTATTTAAATGCTTTGAATTTATAATTTATTTATATTCTTCAAATATAGGGCACTCATCTATTAAAAATCCCTATTGCTATTATTTAAACTGTTATTAAGTTTTTTTTAGTTAAGTCAGTCTGATGCTTTCAAATTAGAGTTCTGCAGTGCCAAGCATAATATTATTAAAGCATAATGATAGCATCTGTCTCTGTGTCTGGCACTATTCAAACATAGTGCCAATGCTAGCAACATCTATTTAAATACTCTGCAAAAATATTATATACTTGAGGTAAAAAGTCAGTTAAAATATACTTTAAACTTTTTTTTTTCACGAATATTGATAGCATTTACTCTGAGTTCACTAATTGGAGTACCAATAAGTTGATTAATAAAATACTAATTAGATATCTAAACTATTCTAAATTTCAGGCATTATTACCTACTATAAAAAATAAAAAACATTAATATAAATATCTAAAATCTGGTTTATAAATTTATTTATCTTTGAGATTTATATAATTTAGGTTAGAATTTAGTTCCAATGCTTAACACTCTACTGTAAATCAATGATTATTAATAGAAATCTTAGATATTGTACAAAAGCAATAATGGTAATTCTATATTACATTATTTGAGCATTTGGATGTTGTATTTACTGTACCTAAATGTAACATATTTGATACAGCATTTTAATTTTAACATAAAATTTTTTGATTGAAATATTGACATTAATTTATTATTCATAGTTCACAATTTGGATCAAAGTTTCTTTTACATTATAACAGCTATAAAAAATAATAAAGTGAATAATTATTGAAGATGAACCTATATAATATTTTTACTTAGTTCAATATGAAGGATTAGCATATAGTTTATAGAGATAATGTTTAAATAATTTTTTTTATCTATGAAAAACAATAGAAAATTTGCATAATGATCATATAAATTGACAATTGCCTTATGGATTAACAGATATTAGCATTAATATGTAACTGTTAAACTATTTAAAATAGCACATGATATAATTACATATATAATTTTTGCTTTATAATTTTAATCGAAGTTTCTTTTATAATACAGTAGCTATAAAAAAATACAATGTAAATATTTAGTAAAAGGTGGATATACATTGTATTATGATTTAGTCTAGTAAAAGATTAAGATATAATTTATAGATTTATTATCTAAATAAACATTATTCGTCTAAGTAAAATTAGTATAAATTCATAATAATAATCTTATAAATTGACAATTCTTATTGGATTAATAGACATAATCCTTGACTGTTATTATATTGATAATATTCTATAATAAAGCATTATTTGAATATAACTTCTAATATACTTTAATTTTTTATAAAGTTAAATAGCCAAAGTAGATAGATTATTCATAGGGCTCATAAAACTATTTAAAAATATTAATCCAAAATTTAAGCAAATCTTTTTTTTATTTTTTTTGTTAAAGATTATATTTTATAATAATTATTTTATTAGCATATTGAGATTAGTATTATAACTATTTTATAGAAATAAAAGCACAACTAGTTATATATATAACTTTTGGTTATCTATTTAAATAGTCTACTCTAGAGTACTGTACTAAATGCTATATCTATGATCTATTAGAAGATTATTTATTTAAACTTACTGATTATCTATTTTATTAATTATTTAATTACTATTATACATTTTGTATATACTTAACCAATATATTGTTTAAGCAGTATAGTATTTACTTTTTTGTACTAGTATTCTGATCATTATACATTTTACAGCATGACATTTGCCAATAAAGCTTAGAAAACCTTTTGCTAACTACCTATTTACTTTATAAACATTAATAAGAACTACTTTTGCAAAGTTTTTTTACACTTTAGTACTAACTTTACAACATATTTCTAGTACTTTAGTGTATTTTATTTTGTTTTTAGACTTCCAAACCAGATAACCTAATAGAACTATAACCTGTTCTTAGTATATTAAGTCCAGTTTGATATTCTTTTTCTCTAATCTGATTCTAGAGGCCTGGTTGGTAATATCTCTTGTTTAGAGGTTTTTGCTTACTACTTTCTTTATATTAATATTTGTTTTCTAAGTCTAAGCTTTTACAATAGTATTGTTAAAAATTTGTGCTACTTTTTTATTTAAAAATTTTCAAGTAGGCTTCAGTTTTCTAGTTTTATAGATTTATATAGTTATAAAAACTTATATTAGATTTATACTATCTAATACCAGTTTGCATCCATCTGTATAACTAAAATTATACTAATATTCTATGACATGTTAGTTATACTGATGTGATTATAATTACAGATATTTTATTCTAACTAATTGACAGAAGACTATTGCTATAATATAAATATTATATAAATAATTATTCAAAGTTTTACTATCAGTAGGTTTAAACTCATAATTTACTACTTAGAGGTTAACAACTTATTCACTTTACTAAGTAGTCATATACTTAAATTTAAACAAATTGTATATATGAATATAAGAATTTTAATAAAAATAACTAATAAGACTGCTTAAGTAAAAAAAAAACATATAACTAATTTATTTTTATATTAAAATAATCTATTTTTGTCTTTTATATTAAATTATTTAATATATATTATTATATATAATAATTATTTTAAATTAAAAAATATTTATTATTAAAAAATTATATCTTTAAAATAAATAAAATTAGTAAAATTTTAACTTAATTTTAAGCTAAATTTTTTTTTGTTTTATATAATTATAAAATTTAATTTAAGTTATTTAATTAAATTAAAAAGAATTTTTAGTTTAAAATTTATAGTAAATTTATATATTTTTTTATTATAAATAATATTTTAAAAAAATGTTTTATATTTGTTATATAATAAAATATTTATAATATTTTTTTATTAAAAAATATAAATTGAATTTATAAATATATTAAATTAAATAAAACTAAAAAAATATTAAAAAATTTTGTTATAGTTATTTTTATAAATTTTAAAATACAAAGAAAAATATGTTAACTTAATAAAATAGTAAGTTATTACTTTTTAAATAACAGGTTAAAAGTTCAAAATTCACTGATAACAAAAATTTAAACAATTATCTATGTTATAGTAACTGTTTTCTATTACTCAAATAGAACAAAATATCTGTAATATAATTATATTATTATGACTAGTAAATTATAAACTATTTATATAATCTTAATTATATTAAGAAATGCAAACTGGTACTTAGTAGTACAATTCAAAATAAATTATTGTAGTTATATAAATTTTTAAAACCAAAAAAATAGAAACCTATTTGGAAAAATCCAAATAAAAAGATAATATAAATTTTAATAATATTATTATAAAGACTAAATCTAAAAAATAAAAAATAATATAAAGGAATTAGATTAACAAAAATCTTTTAATAAGAGATACTACTAATCAAGCTATTAAATTTAGATCAGAAAAAAACATTAAGCCAGACTTGATATATTAAAAACAGGTTATAGTTCTACTAAGCTATCTGAATTGTAAATCTAATAACAAAACAAAAATATACTAAAATACTAGAGATATGCTTTAAATTTATTACTAGAATTTAGATAAACTTTACAAAAACATAAATCTATTAATAGTTTATAGAATTAATAGTCTAGTTAACAAAAGAATACTCTAAATCTTACAGTTATATAAAATGTTTTAAATAGTTAATAACTTAAAAATATATATAAAAAAGGCTAAATGTTGAGTTAAATAGTACTTAAGTATATAAAAGTTAGTTACTATTGTCTAATACAACATAGAAATTAGAATGCTTAAATAGATAATCTCTTAGTAAATTACAAATATAACTATATAGGACCAGCTAATAAACTACCTAATAAGATGCTCTAAATCAGTGAGTTTGTTACTAATTAAAAGTTAGCTTTGTGTAATGATTAATTTGCTTTTTGTTAAAAAAGACATGTAAATTTAATGAGCAATTTTGATTTAGTCTGACTTATCTTGAATAGTTTACACTATATTGAGACTATCACTCTAACTATTCTAAAACTATTGTATTCCTTACTATTAAAGTTCTACAATTTAATTTGATTTGATTTAATTTGATCAAATATTTGAATTCAAATTAAATTCAAATCTGAAATTTTCAAATCAAATTAAATTCAAATATGATCAAATTTGATTTAATTTGACAAATATTTGATTTAATTTGAAAATTTATAATTGAATATTTAAAATTATAAGCTATTTATTTAAAATTTTATTAAGACAATTAATTTTTTCATTTTATAAAACTAGGAATATTTTGTTTAGATGAACACTTTTACTTAAAAGCTCAAGATTAATTAACATAGTAAATTTTTCATAAATCAAGTTTTTCCTTTATAAATTAAAATTTTAAATTTTTTTAAAAATTAAATCAAATTCAAATATTTAATTAAATATTTAATCAAATCAAATCAAATTAAAAGCATATTTGATTTGACCAAATTCAAATTAATTCAATATTTGATTTGATTTGGATTTGAGAAACCCTACTGTGGTCTTGGATTTTGGCGAGTCTGTCGCTAAACTAAGCCAACTCTTGTGTTACCTATAACGGCTAAGTTGAAACAGGCATGTTAGATTTGGTGAGTAGATTATTATCCATAGGTAAGTACTAGTCTCTTCTCTTAAGTCTTTCTTTTAACCTACTCTTGTTCTAATTCTTTTTTTCGCTATTGTCTCAACTGAGATTTTACTACATCGAATCGGGGTTGAAGCTCTTCTCTTTCGTTTTGGTTTGCTGGGCACGTAACTATGGCGAGTGCTCAATTATAAGTTTGGTTGTTCTTGGGAGATAGTGTTAGTACTAGGGTTTAACGATAGTTACTAGTTTTTATAGAACAACGCTTTCACTTTTATTAGAGGTCAGGTAGGTAGTTTATTGTTTTGCAATTTGAATCGCTCCCCTTTGTCTAAGTGAATTGCCCTTTATTTATAATAAACTGCCTTGTCTATTTATATTATGAACTTGTTTAGTATATTGAATATATCTAATTTATTATATATATCGCATATATCACACTTATGCAATATAGGCGATATATCAGATATATCAGATATATCAAACATATCTGACATATCTGACATTTCTGACATTCGGGATTTATGACACGTGATATTGATCACATTTTTGGATCTCATACTACTTACTACATTAAAATATACTGTACTAATGGATTGAGATTTATCATTAATTTGAGTAATTAGTTTTATTACAACAATGGTTCTCTACAGCCACTTATAGAAAAACCTTAAATTCAAGGTATTTATATTGGGTAATGATGTTATTACTTCTTTATTACTTGTATTCAAATCTGCCCATTACTAGGATGAAATTACAGATTATTTATAAACAAAATTCTAACTATTATTAAGATGCCAATATCCATTATTGCTTATAATGATGATAGCACTTATATCACATATATACAATAATCACGAGCATCTCAAATTTAGTGAGATCGTCGTAGCCGGGGTAGAATCGTGACCTGAATATCGTGCGACGATGATTTTACTACGGAATCGGCGACTCGTAGATCACGTGTTCCGGTCTAATACTAAATAAGTAACCAAAAGTTGCATATGTGACTAGTTGTACACTTACCTTGTACAAGTTATATGTAATGTATAATTAAAATCACAATAAAGGTGATAACCATGTAAACATTGACCTTGGCAAACCAAAAATCAAATAAATTATTAACATCAGAAACTAGTATCAGCAATTTTTTCCTATTCTGAAATCATGCAATGGATATAATAACTTACAATATAAAAAATAAAATATAGACAGATTTTAAAAAAGAGGCCAAGTTAAGCAAGACCAAGAGAAATTTAAAAAAAAATCAACAAAGGCCTAAGGCTAATTACCTTTCTTATATATTTTATAATTTATTCAAACTGATCTTACGTCTTAATTCTATTTCATTAAAAATAAGTATGCTTTTCCAAAAAAAATTATGATTAAGTAAAAACATTATATTACACTAATTGATAACATGCTATTTCATTTGTATTTTATATAATCACATATTAGGTAGTTAAATCTGGGCGACGAAACCACCCACCCACATGAGCAAGTTCTATTTATAAACATAAAAAAAAAAGATCATAGTATTTATCATTCATTTTAGTTTCAATGCTCTTAAAAAATTCGGTTTGGTAAACTAATTTTTAAAACTCAACATTTGCTCGCCCTGCACACTTTGCACTTTCTGCTCGTCCTGCTCAATGAATTATAATATACAGTAAACGCAATATTCGCCGTACTACCATTTTTTACCAAAAATAGGAAAAAAACAATCATATCGATCATAACTAAAACGAAATAAAAATAGACAAGAAGCATAGTACAAAAACCGAGCAATTTTTATAGTAGGTTAATGATTATATATTCGAGATCAAGTTGGGACGATCCAGCTTTACACTAAAACTGATTTCTTGCCTAGAATTTGATAAATGTTTTGTAACACCAAACCATAATAAGGAAAAGCTCTAACACAGACACGCTAATGTATGATTAGTATTGTAACCAAGAATATGAAATTTAATTGGTTACAGTACCAGGTACTTAATATTATGTAAAAAAACAAAGACTTATCCATGTTGTCATAGTAATTCCAAATTAGCGTTAACTAGGAATGGTAACAACCATTTTTCACTGCTTTGAAACGGTGAAAATGTCCATTGATGCTAGCATTTGAGATGAAAATAGAAATGATGCTTATCTACTAATATACATTGTGCCATGGTAAGTTTTTTTTTATAAAGTGCACTAAAACAAAAAGCATTTCTAAAATGCCCAATACTAAATTGTTGCCGCATAGACAAAACCACGTATTTAAGATTTACAATGAAATAGAAAAATATGTTGCCTCCAGCGCACCTGATAGAAAAGCTCAAAAGAACTATTTCCTCGATCTAGTAACAGAAAGCAGTGAACTTAATGAATGCGAAAAGAATTATTGCAAAGAAATGTTCATACGTAATTTCGAATTGCATAATGTAATTCATAAATTTGGTGAGCCTATGGAATGTAAAAATTGTAAATCCGTAAGATATTCTGTCAGATATTGTGAAGTTTGCATTAAGCAACAATTACAGAGATCTTTTGGAACATGGACATCTGAAAATGCAATTGTTGATGAGTTCATTCAAAAATGTCAGTTAATCTCGTCAGTTCCGCCATATATTATAGAGTGGATCCCTTTTAAGCAATTTAAAGATGTCGAATATTTAACGAAGGGTGGCTTTAGCACTGTTTATACTGCAACATGGACAAGAGGAAGCATTTATGATTGGGATGAAAACAAAAAAATGTTCATTTACTTTGAATATTTTGGGCCTCAAAAAGTAGTATTAAAATCCTTAAATAATTCAATTAATCCCGGAAAAGATTTTTTTGATGAGGTTTGTAATAAATTTTGATTAGCTATGAATTTATGTGAAATATTAATTTAAAGTTGGCAACTTTATAATTCCAGGCAATCAATTATTTTAAGATTCAATCCAATTCTATTGTTTATTGTCATGGAATAACTAGATTTCCTGAGAATGGAAATTACATGATAGTTATGAACAGACATCCAGAAGGAAATTTAAGAAATTATTTAAAAGTTAATCACTCGACTTTAAATTTAAAGAATAGGATTTCAATTTTTAGATGCTTATGCAAGTCGTTACGTGACATACACAAAAAAAATTTAGTTCATTGTGATTTACATAGCGGAAATATATTAATGGAGTCGAGTAAATGTTTTATTACAGATTTAGGATTCTGTGGACCAGTTGATGAAAAATCATCAAGTGAGGTGTGTGGGATAATACCATATATTGCTCCAGAAATATTTGAGAAAAGAAAACATACTAAAGAATCAGATATCTATAGTGTTGGGATGTTGCTGTGGGAAATATTTTCAGGCTGTCCACCATTCGATGATAGAGCACATGCCATGCAGTTAATAATTGAGATATGCAATGGATTGAGACCACTACTTTTACAAAATATCCCTACAAGCTTCGCAAGAATAATGCAAGAATGCTGGAATACTGATCCGCGTAAAAGGCCAACAATTGAAGAACTTTTCAAATTCGCTAATAATGAACTTGTAAACGTTTATAAAGACGGCAAATTTGATAATACCATTTCACTAAATTCTGCTCTAGATAAAATAAATAAATCACATCCATTTTCATATTCATCAAGTAGAATATTAACCGGTGTTATTCCTGAATCAATTGGAAATTCAAACTATGTGACTTCACAATATGATCTTACATTACCTGATAAAATATCTTAGCCACCTATTTAGTATCATTATGATGGTAGTCGGTTCAGATTCATAGAAGTAGTATTCATATTATTTGATTATAATTATAGTATAAAATTGTAATCATTATTACTTTACAACAATAATTGAATTTATAACAATAAAAAACAAATTTTTTATTCAAAATTGTCTTTAGATTTTAATCGATAAGGACTTGCATTGACAGATTCTTTGTAAATCATTCAATAATAAATTCTAATTTTTTTAAATAGTTTATAAAACAAAATATTAAAAAAATTTACAAGTATCCTACTCCTCTATCCCTATGGGTACCCGGATACACCATACCACATCTTTGAGCTTAATTCCAAATATTGTAATATTTTTCAGTAGTAGCTTCAACTTCCGCCACATTTCTCAATAAATGCAATGTACTCAATATTATTATAAAGCTTTTTTGGTTTGCATAATCATAAAAAATTCTTCTTTTAGGTATCAGTGATATCCTTTTTATCTAAGATTAATACATTTGGAAAACTCTTGGCACATTTTTCAAATTCTTCTAACTTTCTCTTCTTGAATTATTTATAATGAATAGATTACGATGATTTTTTTGCCCATCAAAAGTGAATCTAGGTACAGTCTTAGGCGTAGAAATTCTGTGTATTTCATTTTGTAATATAAAATGAGTTTCCGAGAATTGACATAGTTCTTTATAATTTTTAATATTAGAAATTTCTGTTAGCCAGGTAATAAGATAACAGATATATCGATTAAAAGGGGCTTTAACAATAGAATATCTGAGAGGTTCAGACTTCAAAATCTGAACATTAAAGTGTTTTGTTAATAAGTTGATTACTGATGAACTGTATTTCTCTTTTCTTTTTGACATTTTATAGTTTTAATCGCTTTGATAATTATATTCAGAGATGAAGAAATCCTTCAGTATTCTTTAGTGTTTTTTAATTAATATATGCAAGAAAATAAAGTCAGGCATAAATTTATACATGTGTCAATTGCAGGAATTTTCTATCGTTATTGTTTAATTCATGATTTGACGCCGTGAAATAAGACAATAAAATAAAACTCGAAAAGATGATTTACATTAAAGAATTGTTTTTATACGCTTTTGCTTCTCAAACTGAATTCCATAACCACCTTAAAGGTATTTTATATAATGATTATAATACAAATTATATAAAGTTATGAATGAAATTAACATTAACTTATTACATTCAAGATTTAAACCGTTTATTAATAAACAGGTTGAAGAACATTTCAAATTCGTTAATTATGCATTTATTAATGTTTATAACACATAATTCCGATCTAAAAAAATAAATTACGTATTTACTAATTTTTCCCCAAGTTCCTATTGGCTGGGGCTATTCGCACCAAATTACATGTCATTTTATCTTTAAAGGTTAAGTTCAATATCAGAATCAATAGATGATTTTTTAGCAAAAACTTGCAAGGAATTTTTTTTGTTAGTACGCAAAAGCCGATTTCTTAGGCGAAATTTTGAGATAAATGAGTCTTTACAAATATTTTTTTAATTTTTATGTTACACCCTATCTTGTTCATCACATTATTAAAGATCGTCGATTTTATCCAATTAGAAATGCGATTTATTCACGACCAATAGTAACCTGGGGGAAATTAGTGGACTCATAAATTACATCCATTGCATAAAACATTGAGTAGAATATTAAGTGGATTAATTCCTATCTTTATGAGATTTCACAAAATATGAGTTGCGTAATATGAAATTCGGAGTCATAATAACCAATCTCGGTGTAGAGATGCCTAAATTACAGCTGTTCTGGGACAACTAATAAAAATTTGATCTGCCGAATTCGGTGTTATCAGAATTGGATTTTCGGCATTACAGTAATTCGATAACACCGAATTCAAAAACTTATCGAATTTGGCAGATCAATTTTTATCAATTGCCCCAGAATTTATGAGAACAGCTATAAAAGATTAATTTGGACCGAAAACAAATAATGGATCGCATTTTTATCTCAGCGAACTTCAAACATACTTAAATGACGAACGTTATAAAAAAATTGGGATGAAAATAACACCGATACCACATTCATGACTTTCAAAATAAAAATAGTAGTAGAAGTATTGAAAAATTAATTGTAGATTTACAATAGTAGCATACAATTAAATGGATTCCATTAAAATAATTTTTTCTAAAGTATTATAATTAAATATATTTAAAAGTAAATTGAATCTGAAAAGTCTACCATTATTACTGAATTATTGAATTTATAACAATATTTAGAATAAAAATAATGAAATTGGTATGATGCTAAAGGATTTTCAATTCTTAGAACACAGCATCATTACTTGTCGTAAAGTAATTAATATCACAGAATTTTACACCAGTCACATATTCTGCGATTTTTATACAAGCGAACATCAACGTCGATTTCTTCTTCTCTTACAGGGTCATTTTATCTAACAACAAAGTGAAAATTTTCCAATAAAGTTTGATTAAAATTTTTGAAAATAAAATTAAATGGTATTGTTTTTGTATGTTATATAAGGGAGATAACTAAATCAAGCCAAATTTTAAAAAAAATATCAGAAAGGGCGAAAGAACAATTTATTTTGCATTCCGTTCATCACTTGGTAACGGTAACAATTTATATATCTAATAAATTGGATATCCACCTGTTGACAATTTAGTGTTGGCAAAAGTCAAACTTTTTGATCAAACTAACGGAGTCCTGAATACAATAAAGGAGTTAAATACACGTAAGACTAAGACAATTTTATCAGAAATTATTTAAAATCTTATTTACATTTTAATAATTTTTAGATACATTATACTTACCATATTAACAGTTGGTATATTTTTATTTTTTGTAAAGTTCTTTATTCAAATACTTTATACAAAAAATTAAATATTTAATTATCTAGCAATTAGTTTCCTTTTCGTATTTTTCTATTGCTGTTATGAAGCTAAAACAATTGGTATCTTAACTACTTTGTTGAGTCTATCTAAGTCTTCTTTACCGCTACTCATTAAACCACTGCTAGAACAATTTTGATAACATTATTATTTTTCATGATTTATTATACCTAGTGAGTTCTTATATTAAGTAAATATGCAATCTCATTCATGAAACTAATTGTCAATTTACCTTGCTAAAGCCGTTTATACAATCAGAACTATACACGAAATTGATCCTATCCCATATGCATCTCAAATAATTAAAATAGCATGTAAAATTCGAGCTGCAAAATTAATTTCCATGTGGATGTATTCTGTTTTAATGTTAATAAGTACAATAATTTTCTTTGTTAGTGTTAGCACTGCTGATGATGGTACAAGGAAAATCATTTCTTCAAAATTTATGCATTCGACTACTATGATAAGCCCCAATTAAATTTATAAACAAACATTCCTTAACATTCATATCAGGGTTCAAATATTGATCCTTTGTTTCGAAATAACACACATGTGTGTACTCGTAGGAGCTCGAAATAATGAGCGCAGATGGGATTATTTTTCTTACTCCGACTGTCACTGGGTGGTGTAGGAGAATAAATGGGGCTCAAATTAGAATTTAACCTTTAAAGGATTCACTTTTAAACAGGTAAATCATTAATCTTTATATGAATTCGTACCGATACTCCAAGTAATAGAGTTACAATCCGAATATATTTTTATTACAATACAGTATCAATTTTGATATTTAAAAATAAATGATTAAAATAACTTTACAACTTGTAGAATTTTGATAATTGCTAACATTAAAAATATCATTGCAAAGTCAATCCAATCTTCAGTTAAGGCAATGGAGTATCGTATTTAAACATTTTGTGTCTTATGTATCTAAAATAAACAATAAAATCAAAACAAGCTAAATTCATGAAAAATTTCATTCTTTAAATGCAATCTTTAACTTTGGCTCAAATGTACACTAGACCTGTTTTTGTTATTTTTCTCTAAATGTAATATTCTCAAAAAGACGCTTCTGCTAAATAAATATCAATATATTGTCCTTAAATATAATTCTGCGTTTTAAACTGAAGATTATTTTGTGCATACTTTGTGCAATTACTAATAAAGTTTATACTACTATTAAATTGTCTAATTAATTATACGTTATAGTAGAAATGCAGACTGGATATCCGCAGATCGCATCTCTAAATTATAGTTTACATGCTATTACTAAAAATTTTTAGTCTTAGGCCACGCAAAGTTGATTTTTCGTTTTGCATTACCCGCCGACCCAAATTTTTCAAAATCCCTATTTTTTTTTTTTTTTCGAGTCCCAATTACGCTAATTATTCCATTTTTGCTGTTTTATTTTTCGATCTTTGTTATCCGATGGCGACCATAATTTTCCAGAATTATCCGATAGGATTCCAAGGGAAAACCAGACTTCAGGCTCTTAAAACCTATAAATTGCTGAACTAAAACATGTCAGCAACAAATAAAATTGCAAGCCCGAGGTCTGGTTTTCCTTTGGCGACTTTAACATTTAAAAAAAAAAGGTATAAAAAAATTAAAAAAAAAATTCGACCGACCGACCCAATTTTTTGATTCCATGTATACGTAGTTGTTAGGCGAAACCCAAAAAAGGAAATTATAACAATGAATTTCATTGTTATAATTTCCTTTTTTGGGTTTCGCCTAACTATAAATTCCATGTAATGCAAAACGAAAAATCAACTTTGCATGGCCTTAGTTTTATAGTATATAGATAAAAATATACTTGTATACCATGGTGGGCCCAAATTATCTGTATTAAAGTTTTGATTTTTTAAGAGCGATGGATTCGTGGTCTTTCCACTCTGATCCACATACAGTTCCAAATCCTCCTTCACAATTGCTTAAAGGCAGAAAATTTACTATATTCGTAAAACTTAATGTGTCCTTCACGAATAGCATTTTCGAGCCATTTTTCCGAATATGAATATGCTTTATACGTTGTCTAAAAAATTTTTGATAGTTTGTAACGTATGCAATTTTGTCTAGTTAACAAATAATATAGTAGTGGGAAAACTGTACAATAAATAAATAAAACACTGTTAGAGGGTATTCAAGTTCGTCATTCAACAATTCTGTAGTTAAACATATATGTATCCAAGGCTTTAATGTGTAGTGCACAACAATGGTAGCTTCAAAAATATCGTTAATGAAGACATAATTTAAGCTTGTTTAGATTGAGCTCGGTTACTATGAAGATAGAACCAACGGAACCTGAAGACTTGGTTATAAATAAATTTATTGCTATGTAAATTGGTTAAGAAAAAATTTGTCTAGTGTGAATGCCTAAAACAATTGTCATCAAAATGATTTTATGAATTTTGACATTAAAATTCATGTTTTAAAAATATGATAATTGACTATATCGTCGTCCTGATCTAAAATGTGATTTTTCACATCTGGAAACAGCCCTCCATTAGGAGCCGAAGAGGCCGGAATTGACAAGTATTTTCCTGCTAGTTTTGCTAACGTAGGAAATAAATGCTTGTTTTCACTCCACCATTTAAAATATTATTACTTTCAGTTACAGGCAATTAAGGTAATTCAAGATACTTATCAAATTCCGTTGGTTCATAGTATTCTTTGCAAAATGATTGGAAAAACAATAACATTTTCGAATCTTCATTTACTGTCAACAAGTTTGATGCTTTCGGTTATGTGAAGTTGGTATATTGTTCTCGAAGATTGCCTATAATTTTGCACTTAAGTTCCTACAAAAACAATAAAAAAAAATTTACTATTCATCATTCTTTGACTTGATTGAATTTTTTTATATTTACCTTGCTAATATAAGGCAATTCTTTGAAATGAAGATCGAATAAAGATCCATGGAGTCTAAGAGTTGAGGGCGCACCCAAAATTGTCAAGGTTATCTGAAATAGTATCTTTGACTTGCCAAATCACGTAATTTTGGGTTAGTTACTACAAAGTCCTTGCTTAAGTTTTTCAATCACTATGGTTACTACGCCCAATGCAGGGTATCCGATATCTCTTAGCTTCTCGTTTAATGCGTTTAACAGCTCTAAGACAGTGATAAGTTCTCTGCGCATATTAAATTCTTCGTTAGAAAGTATCTTATATATTATATAAATGCTTTGTAGAAGGCTGTAGTGCTATTAGACGATGAATTGTATGATATGTTGAAGACCAATCTTTCTCAATATTTATTACGTCTAATGGTTGTTTGATACTTGGGTCAAGTTGTTGCTGCATCTCTCTTAATTTTTGGCGATTCGTATCATTTCTGATTACAGTATTAATCAATTTTTTTGATTTAGCTATAATTTGCTGGCATGAGAAAGTCCCGAATCCACACTATATTGTAATGTATGAACTGAGCATGGAATTACTTTCAATTTGAATTTGTGATATAGCCGTCTTTAAATTATCGTATTTATTGTTAATAGTAACGATGACGACATTTTTATGAACTGATCCGTCTATTCTTGTAAATTAGAAATCGTCTGCTTATTATCTCTAACGATTACTCTCAATTCTTGATCGTCTTTTTTTAACCTAATAAATCAAAAAAAAAAAATTTAATTTAAAATTAAAAATATTATTAATAAAAAAATGAATTAAATGATATCTTGCAATTTTATCTTCATACATATTTCGATCGGTATATACATTAAGTCTCGTCTCTAAAGACTTACTTTGTTCAGATAACGCATCTGCGTCTAATGCTTCAGCTTCTTTCATCCAAGTTGTAATTGATCTTCAATAAACTCGACAGAAATTCTTTGTATTTATAAACTAAACGCTCTTTACAACTTTTGTTCGCGCCACGTTTTTTGCGTTCGGTATTTGTGAGCTGGTTATTATCTTTATCGTGTTTCTTTTTTTTAGCTCGCATTTTTGCTCAAAACAATAAAAAAAATGGTCACTCAGATTTCATTATTTAAATAAATATCATCATAGTGGCCTAAATAAAAAAAATACAACAAAAGCATTCCGCCACAAGTCGGTCGAGAACGCTAATGGTATCTTCGGAAGTTCGCTACTTCATCCGCCACAAGACGGTCGAGACTCCGTCACGAACATTAAATAAAAGCATTCCGCCACAAGTCGGTCGAGAACGCTAATGATATCTTCGGATATAAGGATAAGTTCGCTACTTCATCGTCCGCCACAAGACAGTCGAGACTCCGTCACAAACATTAAATAAAAGCATTCCGCCACAAGTCGGTCGAGAACGCTAATGATATCTTCGGATATAAGGACAAGTGCTACTTCATCGTCCGCCACAAGACGGTCGAGACTCAGTACAAACCTGTCCGAACATTAAATAAAAGCATTCCGCCACAAGTCGGTCGAGAACGCTAATGATGTCTTTGGATATAAGGACAAGTTCGCTACTTCATCGTCCGCCACAAGACGGTCGAGACTCCGTTACGAACCTGTCAGAACATTAAATAATAAAGTACACGAAGTGAGTATCTGACATATAAAGAATAATCAAGAAATAAAATATGAAAAACTTCCCTCATGTATAAAAAAATAAACTTTATCGTTGAAAAACAGGACACAATTTAAATAAGAAACAGTTTACTAGTTTTTTTGGCATTTAAATAAAAACAGATTCAAATGTTGTAGTTAAAGTGTTTTATACTGTGACACAACATTAAGTTCGACTGCTATAAATGTAAACAAAACCAGCTGCTTTCTTTTACTGTGTGAACATTAAGGGGTCGTGCATGATATACTGAATAGCAGGGCTAAAAGGACATATAATAAATGCCGGCCATTCAATAAATGTCGTTCTTGATTCACAAAATTTTATTGGGCCAAAAAATAATTTAATATACACGTAACGATAATACGTATAAGTACTGCATTAATAAAAAATATATTAGCACGTACGTACGTATACTAATTTGGTGTACAGTAAATGGCCACCATATACTATTTGTCGTTTTAGCCCTGCTGATTAACAATTAGTTGAAGACGTCTAAAGTTCTAACTTGCTATAAAAATATAGAATAATTATAATACGACAGGGTGAAACCTACGATAGAAACCCGCGAAAGTGGTTACGTTATTGATGCAGATCACTATCTAAAATAGTAATTAACCTATCCGTCACGGGTTTCGCCCTTTCATATTATAATTATGATTTTTATTATCTTAGATCAATTATTATTATTATATTAAAATCGTTGGGTCACATGAGGATGACATTTATAAAGTTAAAAATATAATGAACGCCGATTTATTTATGAGGAATATACTATACCATATTTGAGTGCCGTCAAGGGGAAACCTGTCATCGGGCTTTCAATGTTCAGTTTATTTACTGAATGCCGTTTATGGAAAATCTAACATCAGGCTTTCAGTCTGAAATGGGTATCCTTATGTCCAGAAAATCCCGGGCTGAAGATCACTTCCGACCCAATAAAATCACAGGATCTCGTGTAACAAAATAAACGCAAAAAACATAAGAAATTGTAAGAAACCGCAATTAACACTAAAATTTACTATGATAACTAAGTTCAGTTCTCTAAGTAAAAGTTTTCAGAATGAAATTTTATTTGTAAAACACAATTGTTAATGTTGGATATACTGTATATGGAATTTTTGAGATACTACGACCTATATTTTTTTTGCCTGCAGCTCGGGATTTTTTGGACAGTAGGATACTCATCTGAAATCTATAACTTAAAAAATAAAAAATTATATAAACAAGATTTATTACAGATTAGGCATTTTACGCGATATAGAAATGATCTGCAATCTACTAAAAGGTTGTTTTAAAACCGATTTCTACTTAAAAAAAAAGATATTTTTTATTATTTAAAAATAAAAATCAATTTTAAAAAATTTTAAAATAATTTTAAATATATAATCTAGAATTTCATAAGATTCTGAAGCTTTAAAAAAAAATTGTGACTAATAACAATATAGCCAATAATTAATAAAATTTTATATTATAAAATTAAAAAAAAATTTTTAATTGAAAATTTTTTACTAAAATATAAAATAATATGTAATTAAAAACAAATTCTTAAAAGTGTGATGACCCAGTGAAGTGGTTAAATTGTTAACCCTCCAAGTGGTAAGTTGGGTGTTCAAATCTTATTAATAGTAAAAATTTGGATAATCATTTATATAATATTTATATTATGTTAATTATTACTAATTATTAGATTAAAATACTTGTAATAGCAGTTGCATCAGCATTATCAGGTCATAGAGCATCTATATAAGTATAAAATTACATAGAAAAATGCAAATTAACAATTAAACAGTACAAACACTAAATAAATTCTTGTAGTTATATAAATTTATTAGAATTAAATAATAAGAAGTTTATTTAAAAAGACTGAAATAGAAAGGTAGTCAAATTTTTAACTGCTTAACTGTAAAGCCTAGCTTAAGAAAATAGATATCAAGATTATAGACTTAGATAGGCAAAAACCTCTAGGTTGAAAGTCTTAGAAATAATACTAACTAAACTATTGAAATAAACTAAAAGAAAAGAATATTAAACTAATTTAATATATTAATGAATTGGCTATAATTCTATATAGATTATCTAAATTGGAAGTTTGGTGAAAAGGTAAGGGTATACTAAAATATTAGAGTTATACTATAAAGTAAATGTTAGGTTTTGAATAAACTCTATAAGAACATAATAATTAAATAATATAATTCTAATCACAAGTATTAGTTCTGTCATAACAATATCAGATTAGTTATAAAAATAGATACAAAAGGTTCTAAAAAGTTTATTTCAAAGATAAAATAGTTTTTAGATTAAGATGATGATCTAGGCATCTGAGTATAATCCAGTAATATTAATACAAATTACAGATTCAAAGGATTTAAAGTAAAACATTCAAACAAGAGTATTAAATATAACAATTAGTAAGGAACCTATATGCAGACTTCTTAAATAAGTAATATAGAAAACTTATATGTGTAGTTAATTGTATATTCTTTTGTAATAATTCATTGAATTATATTACCAAAAAAGGCATTAATAAAAAGTCAAAAAACCAAAAAGATCACTTTAATATTAAAAAAAAAAATTCTTAATTATATTATAATAGTTATAATTTAATTTTTAAATAAAAATTCTTAGCATAAAATTTTTTTTGAAATACTAAAATAAAAACTTTGCTAGATAATAGAAGTAATTATATTAAAAATTTCTAAACTATTCATACTATTTATTTAAGACATCTAATATAATATTATATTTCAGTTTTTATATAACGTTATTATTAATTAATTTAAATTAATTTTAAGTATAAAAAGATTAAAAAAATCTAAAATGATAGTTTTAATATTTAGTAAATATAATTAGTAAATATGTAGTTTAGAATTAATCAATTATTAATAGATATAATTAGATTTATAATAGATATATTAGTAGTATTAAAGTTAAATTAAAAAGATAAAACTAAGAAATATATTTTTGAATATTGCAAGTTTTTCTTATTGTTGTTAAAGAATATTATATGATAGTCATATATATTATACATAAATCAGAATTATTATAATTTAAAATCAACTTAGATTAGAACAGAATTTCAAATATAGTCAAGATATATATGAAATTTAAAAAAATAATTAAGTTGATTTTAGATTTGATTTGATTTTTATTTTTATTTTTTTTTAGTATTAAGATGACCTTTTTGTCTTTTGACTTTTATTAATGACTTTTTTGGTAATATGATTCTATAAATAATTATAGAAAAGAGTACAATTAGTTTTTTTTTTTTTTAAATATTAACGGTGAGGCCATGCCTTTAACTTTATTGAAATTCAATTGAAGTTTTTACA